ACACACACACACACACACACACACACACACACACACACACACACACACACATCTACACACGCATGCATATATTTGTTTTTGTTTTGCTTTGTTCAGATGCTGCTTGCGATTAATTGCATTTATATCGATAAATTTCTATTGCACGACAATCGGAAGCATTCCAAAATTGAATGGGACTCCAATTGGAAGTGCTTCCTATTGTTATTGAGTGCTAAATGAGATATTGAAACAATTCTATTTATATTGAAACTGATGATATTATCATAATGCAAAATAAAAAGAAAATGCTTTAAGCTGGCAAAGGAATACTAGATAGCACACATATCATATTTATGTATGTAGTATAGATTCATACAATTTCTTATTCATTCATGTAAATGTTTCCCCTTTGCAGATTTGCCGCCTGAAGCCGGAAACGATGAGCGATTGCTGCACATAACGCCGGGCGTTTTATCGCTGGACTTTAAACCGCATCAAGTTGACATTGATCAGCAGATCCTGGAGGTAAATATCCGGCAAGCATAAAGTCCAGCCAGTAAAAACTGAAAAGTAAAGTTCATCGAAAGTATTCTCATGGAAAATCTATCGTTGGCAATCGATGGAAATGTTTCAGATGGAAATCTGTGCATTTCACGTTTCCTCTTTGTGTTTTGTATCCGCTAACGTTGCAGAAACTGCGCACTTTTCCAATTAACACGACGAATTCTGCTTGTGACGTAGTCTGCTCCCTGTTAAATTTCCTCTTTGTGGCGATATTTTTATATAAGCCGGGATATACACATAATCCATTCGAGCTAGTCTTAATTTAGGAAATATAGAATTAAAATTTGTGACAAGTGATGAAGTGGAGAGGATATTATCGATACTTTGCTATAGGCTCATCGAAACTCAGAATGTCCTTGAGAGAAGAGGAAGAGTATTCGATTCTAAAAAAGAAAATGCTTCTGAATTAATTAAAGCAATATGGAAATAAAGCCATTTTCCCCTCAGTCTCTATCTTTCGTATTTTTAAATAGACTTAAACACTATTCGATATTTAGGCACCTAGGAGTATGTTTATCATATGAATACCCATTGAAAATGGAAGAGGATGGCTTGCACCTTGAAGCAAATAAAACTGCTTAACATATTGTCATAAAAATTTAATAATTAAGCAAAGGCATTTCCGCTCGATGCTGTTTACAGGGCATCAGCAAGTCGTTGATTTACTTCATTTTATTGTCTCTTCCGATTTCACAATCAGCTGAGTTCATTTCTTTGCTTTTTCAATTCCCATTGTGTGTGTGTCTCTCTCTCTCTCTCACACACAGCTCTTTCTGAGCTCTGCTCAAATTGGAATTACCAAAACATACATCAAATCTAATTGGAACATATCGGCGATTGTTTATTCTCAACGTCGCATTCATTTATGATCTCAATCATCGGCTATATCATTAGCATTCATGTCAGAATTTTTCTTACGTTTCCTTATTTTTAAATGTGCTATATATACATATGTATGTATGTATGTATATATTCCTATATATATGCATAGCTTTCGATATATATGTATATATAGCTCTGCCTTTGATTGTTGTTGTTGTTGTTGCTCTATTTATACGCATTCACAAGTTTCACTTGTGCTGCCTTCAGTGCGGCTTTCCTTGTATACCCTGGCGAAAACTCTAGAGCGGCTTGTCCAGCTGCCTTTTGTATGCAACTGGGCAATGAGAAATAGAGAGAACTAATGGAGAACTATTTTTACCACATTCTCTGATTGTGACACATTTTGGCTATTTATAGAGTCCGACCCCTATAGCCAATTCATATTGAAAGCCCATTTCAGTGGCATAGCTAAATGCCACGATGATTACTACAAAACTAATTAAAAACTGAAATAAATCAATTTCTATAATATTTGAAAATGCCTTGGCATATGTTTAACTGTGGTAAATCATTCAAAGTTATCTTTAGCAGGCATTGTTTATACCCTGTCTACTCAAGTTGAACTTGCATTTGTTTATAGAACTAGTTCATTTGCGCTAACTTTGTTTTTCGCGGAACTAGTTCATATATTTTGTATTGAGCCGGTTCGCAGATTTATTATTTTTATTGAACATAATTATTAACTGAACTAGTTCATTATACGCTTCATGAATTAGAACTTGTTTTGTTTCGAGAACTAGTTCCTTTACTTGATCTCTTACTGAACTAGTTTATCTATGATGAATATGATGATGAATATGAATTTATTCAAGAAAAGGTATTCCTTTTACTTAACCTAGTTCATGAACTAGCTTATTCAGCGAATCAGTTCATTTGAAATATGAATAAAATGAATTTCTAATTCAATAAGTTTTTCATACATTACTTAATTGGCATTTGCTCACGGATTTAGTTCATTTGATATAACATTTTCACATTATTCACGAAACTAGTTCGTTTATTCTATTTATTCAACTTTATTGTTCAGTGAATCAGTTCCTTTTCAACACAATCATTAATTGTTAACTAAAATAGTTAATTATGTATTTTTTAGTTCATTTTATCGAGCTGCATTGTTCACTGATTCCTGAATTAGTTCCATTTTGATGAACCATATCACTAAATGGGTTCCTTGACTCAGCTAATTGAGCTCTTCGAAACGAACCAGTTCTAACACATAGTCTTTGCGTATTCCAGGGTATTGCGCAGTCGCCCCTCGCTCGCTTCTCTGGCTGCTTCTATATTTAAACGCGTGTACAACTTAATGATTCTATATTTATTGTTTTCTCTACGAAAATATGTACGAGTATTTTGCGCATTCGTTCTCTGTGCATGTGTGTGTGTGTGTGTGTTTTCTCTCTCCTTCCTCTTTCTTAGCTTTTTCCCATTTCGTTTTAAATAAAACGGCGATTGTGCTAATAATAAAAACCCAATGGGAGCCAAGCGAGAGACCAAAAAAGCATGAAAGGTGATGGATGAAGGGGGAGGGAGAGGGAGAGAGAATACCCTAACGTATTGCCTGGCCTGTAATGCACCGTAGAGCATGTGCAACAAGTCGGTTCGCGCACAGCGAATACTCACTGTACCCACAACTTTGTTGGGCTACAGTCGACCTCATGGCCCCAGCAGCAACATGTGCAGCCCCCACCTGCCATTGCCAACCCCAACTCCCCCCTGGCCTCGCTCCCCTCGCTCTGCCTCTTGCCGCTTGCTGGCTGTTGCCTTGTTGCATTCAATTTATAGCCTGATTTTATTTATATACCCCGTGTGCCGTGTACCCCTTAAAGGCAGCCAAATCGGGTATATATCTCAGGCAGAGATTAGAGCGCAGCAGCAGCAGAGGCAGCAGCAGCAGCAGCTGGTCGTTATGTCTAGGATATCTGATCGTCTGGCATGCCCCACTCTAACTTGCTTTGTGCATTGCGCTCTATGCGTGCATGTGTGTGTGTGTGCTGTGTGTGTGTGTGTTTTGTTTTCTTTTGAATTTTCGTATTTTTGGTTCAAGTGTTCATCTGCTGCTGCTGCTGCTGTTGCTGCTGCTTCTTCTTCTTCTCTTTCCACTAGCTCTGCTGTAGTTGCTAAAGTGCTGCCTACCCAAATATCTATCTCCATCTCCCTCACTCTCTCTCTCTCTCTCTCTGCCACTCCCCCTGCTCAGCCCTCGTTCGCCTTTTAGCCGCAGCAGAATTTGCCGTTTTTGTTATTTTTACATTTTCCTTTGAATTTATTTTTATTTTTGTGTTTTATAAACTCTGTGGGTTTTATTTTTAACAAAAAAAAAAAAAAAAAAAAAAAAAACAAACAAAAATTGTATATAAACGTATGTATATATAAATTTATATATGTGCACAAATAGAAAAGAGCGAAAGGGATAGCAAGTGCAAGAACTATAACTGTAGAATATATATATATATATATATATGTATATATAAAAAAAGTAGAATAACTAATCGTAGCCTTTTCGTTTAGCTCTTTGTGTTGTTGTTGTTGTTGTTGTTGTATTTATTTATAAGAATCTGTGGCACGAGCAAATTGTAAATTAGCTACACAATAGCTGTGGGTGGGGAAATGAGTCTGAATATGTGTGTGTGTGTGTGTGTGTGTGTGTGCGTAGAAGCTATGCAAAAAGAAAATTTGTGTTGCAGCTGAAATCGAAAATATACTCACTCACACCCATTGCATATTTGAGTATACTCCTAAATTCGAGTATTCGAGTTTTGAAACCCTCTTATAAGAAACTGTTTCCTTGAAGACCTGAGAAGAAGTTAAATGAAAGGAATTTATATTACATTCATTTTTGTCATTGTGACTTTGAATGTATTCGAGTACATTCATTCGAACTTCTTATTAATATCAATCTATGATATATACACTCATGAGTACCCACAATCAATTAGAGAAATGCATGAGTAGATTCTAATTAGTCAGTTGAGTTTGAATCAATGAGTAGATTCAAATGACTCATTCAGCTTGTATCAATGAGTAGACTCTAATAAGTCTCTTTAAATTAAGGAGCTTATTTTAATTAGATAATTAAGTTTGAATCAATGAGTAGACTCTAATTAGTATGCTTGAATCGATGACTAGATTCAAACTAGTCAAAGAATTTGAATCAGTGATTCAAAAAAGTCGTAAAGTTTGAATCAATGATTCAAATTAGTTTGATTAAATAAAGGAACTCCAATTAGTTTGCAGCAATCTGTAAATTCTAATTATGATTTGTGAATCAATGAGTAGACTCAAAGTAGTCATTCAGTTAGAATCAATGCTTCAAATTCGTCTGCTTGAATCGAATAGCCCCAATTACTATAGTTAGTTTGAATCAATGAGCAGATTCTCATTATTATGTGTGAATCAATGAATAGATTCAAACTAGTGATAGAGTTTGATTCAAAGATTCAAATTCGACATTAAGTTTGAATATATAGTCGAGTAAATTCTAATTGCCTCAGTCTGAGTATGATGTTTTTCCATTAGATGCTTTCCATACCCACATCTATTCACTGAATACCGAAATATATTCACAAATGATTTCCCATTCACATTCATATTCATTCAGTAGCTTGATTCTTTATGGTTTCTTAACAGAGCTATAGCTCCTACCCAAAATTCAGCCCTTATGAGGCGCGTACTCATAATAAATTGTTGTATTCGCTATACACTCATGAATACATTCGATTCATTCGCTATGCTTTGGGCAATCGAATTCACATTTCGACCAATTTGTGCGTTCTAAAAACGGAAGACAACAATGTTGTTGGTATTGTTATTATTATGTACATATTATCAGAGAGGGCGAGTTGTTCTATTTATATGGGCGTGTCTGTGTGTTGTCTTTGGCCCCCGTTATAATTATAGCACGGGCCTTTTATAATTATAGCATGCGCTCTGGCCAGCAGAATGCTGAATAACAACAACAACAACAACAAGAACAGCAGCAACAAAAAGTTGTGCAAGGCAAATGTCGTGGGCGGGTGAAAAGGAAGGCGGGGCAACGGTGGCTAGGGGGCCAGATTATTGCTTAAACGAAGGGGTAATCAGGTGCAACAGCAGATTTCTAAGAACTCTCTCTAAATAGCATATGGCTTGTTGCTGCTGCTGCGACTGCGACTGCGACGGCGACAGCGACAGCGACGGCGACGGCGACTGCGACTGCTGCACTGAGCAAACGATTGAAAGATGAATATAAAAACGCCCGTTTGTCTGCCGCCGCAACTGACCACGCCAGAGAGTGATAGATTGAGAGAGAGAGAGAAAGAGAGAGAGAGGGAGAGTAATTAGGAAGAGAGCGGCGAGCGGCGAACGTGAGCAACGTGAGCGACGCCAGCACACGTTCATTTAGCTCGCTCGCACGCTCGCCGCCTGTTCGCTTCGTGCGCTTTGGCTAGCGAATAACTGTATCTAAATTTGTGTTTATATTTGATTTTTGCGGCAGTTGCTTGAGTGAAACTGAAATGAAAGCGCGTTCGACGAATGCCAAAGCCAAACGAAAAAACTAAACTAAACTAAACTAAAATAAAATAACAGACGCAGGCAGCAGCGGCGGCAGCAGCAGCAGCAGCGCAGTCAAGAGCAATTCAAATTGGAACAATACCGTCGTACATATCCAATTCGAATACACCAATTGGAGCTAACAGTTGAAAACGCGCGGCGCTGTGAAAAATATTGAAATCAAAGTCAAGCAAACGCAGAAAAAAAAAAACCAAAACCAAAAATTATACAGTTTATAATAAATATACATGCAAAATTCGAAAAGACTGAAAACATACGGCATCAGCTAAAAATGTATAGACAATTGAGACAAAAAGTAGAGGCGCAGACAACAAAATGAGAAACAAAACTAAAAAATAAATAAATAAATAAAGCTAACAGCGGCGCATATTTCTACAGATTATTTATTAGTGTTCTGAGTAGTTTCTTTATATTTATTTGTTTTTTTTTTTCTGTGTTTTTATTTTTATTCTTTTTTTTTTCTGCCCATAAGCTGTGAGCACTAAAAGCTTATGAAAAAGTTTCTAACAGCGCAAATCACAAAAAAAAGAAAAAACAAAAGCAAAAACCAATTAGAAACAAAAAAAAAACAACAACTCTAGTGCTCGACCAGTGCGTGCGCGTGTTAGTGCGTGTGTGTGTGTGTGAAATAGAGAGAGAGATTGTGTGTGTGTGCGTGCGTCCAATTGGACAAAGCGTCGCGTTAAGGTCATGGAAACATATCAGCAGCATGTACGTAATAAAGAGAGCGCGCCGAGCAGAGTGAAAGAGGGAGAGAGCGACCCTCAGCTAGAAAGCGATTGAGCGAGAGCGGGACAGGCAGAGAGAGTGAGAGTGCAGAGAGAGAGCACAGCCAGCCAATAATCAACAATTTATGATCTCTTTTGATGAATTGTGACGCGTGATTTGCTTAGCTAATTCATTTGTGTAATCGCTAGCAAACTCTCTGCGTGTGTGCGTGTGTGTGTGTGTCGTCTTAGAGTGTCAAAGTGAATCAGAGTGCATTCATCCAAGCCATTCATCACAATATGATTCATTTCAAATGCACTAATTATCTAATTGATCAGCTTTTAGGAGACTGATAATTTGAACTGATTTTATTATATCAAAACAACTGTAAATGGGCGACATATTTGTTTGTATTTACAAACGGTTTAAGTGGCAAATTTATACAGATATTTTATATGCCATTAAAATACTTGCGAAGTAATTAATATTGTTTATAATTCCATCTGAAAGGTATTGTGATTATATCGAATTTCTATAGATATATGCAATATGTATATAAATGTATCGAATGATCATAAAATATATTGGTCAATGGATGTTGACGACTACGTAATAAATCTTAGAACAACGATATTCCATACAAAGTAACTCGATTGTTTTTGTTTTTTGAGTATTTTTGTGTAAATCCCCCCAAGAAAAAGTACTTCAAATCGCATGCAAGCTATAGGATTTCCGTACTGATTCTCAGAAGAGCAGAACCTGAAATTTAACTGGAAAATAAATCTATTTGATTCAAGAAAAAGTAACTTAAGACGTTTTAGTTAACTGTTTAGCTAGCTTTGATTGTTGATATCTAATAACATACTACCCAAAGAGCTTTGATCATCGGCATCGAGTCTATTTTTAAATAGGGTATTCCCATTTAATATGTTTTTTTTTGGTCAACTTTGTTTATTTTTGTTTTCGATTTTTTTTAGACTTTCTCTCTGAGTAGGATAATCCCATCAATTTGCTGTTCTCTTGTCAAGTTTTTTGTTGTTCTGAATCGTGAGTCTATTATTCAGCTAGTATTTTTTCAATTTCCTGAAATATCGCCTGGAATTAAGTTATGCAAAGACCAAATTGAATTCGTATTGCGAATAATTGTGAGTTCTTTGAACCGCTTCGCTGATGACTTGATCACCGTTGACATTGAAACGATGTGCACGAATCTATTTCGCTGATCAACATACATATGTACATACATATATGTATGTTTGTATGTATGTATATCCCTTCTCTCACTCAACATTGGATTGTGGCTATGCGTCACAGCATCTACTTAGCTGTAGGCAAAGATCTTTCGGGGGGGCATTACTCACAGCCATTTAATGATCTGCCCACGACATTTACCCCAACATCACGATTGATGGCGCCATTCCTCCCCAACTCTCTCTCTCTCTCTCTCTCTAATCGCTTGCTCATCTTTTACGTCTGTTTCTTCGCTTTTAGCTGAAGAAGAGCCAGGAGCTGCAGAAACAGCGTCTTTTCCACTCGTACCAGGAACAGACGAAGCAAATGGAACGGGAGCATAAACTGCAACTGGAGCACAAATATCATGTGAGTAGCTAGAAGAGCCAGACGAAAACAAACACGAAAAACAACAACAACAAAACTCAAGAGATTAGATCGTAGATCGCGTCGATATTTCCCCAAAGATAACGTTGCTTGATAAAGCCAACAATTCCCCAAGTAGTCACACTAAATGGCCGTTAATTGTTGAATAGCTCATTAGTGCAAGAGACGATAGCTATCGGATTTTATTGTATCACCTTGTTGTTAGGCTATAGCCCACATACTCACATATATACATATATACATACATATATGTATGCATCTTTTGTATGTATATTATTCTATATCAATACTAGTACTAATGCAAATCGATAAATATCGATACCCAACACTATGTAATCTTCTAAGCAGTCCTTACTGCTTCAATATCGATAGGTATTTCGAAATGATATAGACCCGATAACTATCGATATGAAAAAGCTGTCGATGGATCTGTACATACTTTGGCTAATCGATAATTATCGATATGCAGCACGTGTATTTCGAAAGAAGGTAGTTCAAGAATCAATGTTAATTTCTGTCAGTCACACGCAGTCGATTTCTATCTTTCGATAACAACACCAATAATGCTTAAACCGATAAGTATCGACCTGTCTGCAACATACAACGGCAGCTTGTTCCGTCTAAATATAAACAAGTAATAAATGTACAGTTAATTAAATTCACTTATACTGAGAATCTTCGAAAGACGATAAATATCGATATACACAATGTGGATTAATGAAACAATCGGATTAGACTCAATTTTGGGTTGCCTGCTATGAGCAGCAGTTGCACCTTGCTTTAATTATGAACTACATTTGGTTTATACACATCTCGATATACATACATATATCGGATATATGTATGTATGTACATATGTATATGAAATTGTGACCTAAACTTGTTTTGTTTGTTTTTCTTTTTCGTTTCCATTCTGTTTCTGTTGCTGCTACAACTTGTTGTTGTTGTTGCTGTTGTTGTTGCTGTTGGCGACATTGGCGCGTGGGCAGCGCAAAAAAAAATATAAATAAATGAAATAAAAGCAAAAATACTTTATCAAGCGTCGTCTTGCCGGCGCTTTTGGCCGGAAGTGCCGCCCTGCTAGATGACTAAACAGCAGCAGCAGCAACAACAACAACAGCAACGCTTGACCAGCGGCAACAACACACACTCTCACACTCACACACACATAGCTAATTCTATTCTGAGCCCTACCCCCTCGCAAAAAAAAAGAAAAGAGACAAGAACAACAACAAAAACTCTCTCGAACTTATTGTAATTTATTCAGTTTGCGGTGCATTCACATGGCGCTTTCCAGGAATTGCGGGAACAGAGCATGGTCACGGCGGCGGCAGTTGTCGAGGAGCAGCATCGCCAGCACCAACATCAGCAACATCAGCAACAGCAGCAGCAACAGCAGCAACAGCAGCAGCAGCAGCAGCAGCAGCAGCGGGAGCGAAAAGAACGTGAAGTGATGAAGCGAAAGGAGAATTGCAGCGCCAATGCGAGTCCCGAAGTCAAACAGATACTCAGTGTAACTATAAATGCCTCTGCTCTCTCTCGCGCGCTCTCTTTTGCTCTCTTTATTTAACTCTTTCGCCTTGCAGTGCTTTCTCATGAGCCGCAAGTCGCAGGCAATGGCTCCAAATGGCACCACAACCACATCGCCCTATCGCAATCGGTAAGGATATCTATCCATTCATCTCTAGTCTTAGAGTCTGACTCTCTCTGTCTCTCTCTCTCTCTCTCTCTCTTTCTCTTTTACTGTTGCAGCGGTGTTGTTAAGAGCTCTTCGGGCGAATCGTTGCCCGTTGGCACCGTCACCAGCGCACATCCATATAAAATCCCACAGCCGCCGACCTCACTGCTCAAATATGAATCTGATTTCCCCCTGAGGAAAACTGGTAAGTGATCAAAATGCCAATGACAATGTCAATGTCAATGCCAATGCCAATGCCCTAACATTGTCATCGATGCTGTGTGTAGCGATTGTTGAACGAGACAACACCTGCCCCCTACCTGTCCTAACTAACTCTTTTTGCTCTCTGCTTGGCGTTACAAAGTGTTGCCAATTGCTGCATCGCTTGTTGATTACTAAACCGAAAAGCTGAGCTAAAGCTGCTAGAACTCCAGATGATCAGTTGAGATCACAGTTGGCATAGTTGAAGTTTCGAAAGAACAGTCGTCTTAAAGGAAGTATTTATTAGACACTTCCTGGAACAATTAAAAGTTCTCTGAGCACTCTATGCAATCGCAATGATCGCTCAGATCACTATTCAATGCCAGCCCTCTAAAGAGTAGAGTTGTAGCTCTATAATTAACTTTTAGCTAGAGAGCTTTTGATCAGTTATATTGATATTATTGATCCACAATCACTGATACAGTTAAGCTAGTTAGTTAGAATAGAATTTCATTTCATTTATAGACATCTGATCACTGATCTAATGAATACAGTTTTTAAAGGGGTTTTTCTTGGGCATATACTTATAAAAAAACACCATTGATCATTGATCCAGACAGATCATTTTGAATGGGAGCTGAAAGCTTGCTGCAAATATTATTGAAATATTTTCACTATGAATCAATTAAGGAAGTGGAACCAATCAAAGATCAGCGGGAAGATTGCAAGCTTAGAAGAATGTTGAAATATTTGTTCTACAAATCACTGAAAGAAATGGAGCTGATCATAGATCAGCAGGAAGCATGGAAATTTAAAAGAATATTTAAATATATCTCCTACAAAGAAATTAAACTAATCATAGATTAGCTGGAAAAATGTTGGAGTAGACAACGCTCTATTGCTGTTCAGTAAATAGATGGTTTTGGAAAGAGTTACAAGTGATAAAGTCAACCTTTTACAAGGCTAATAGTATTGGGTATACGAATATAGCAAAAGATCTGTAGCTATAAAGTTTAGTTGGATTAAAAATAAGTTTCTTAAATCAGTTGAAGTTAAGTCATCCGAATTTAGTCCGAATTTAAACATTGGCTACTGCTATAGGTATATTTAGGTATTAGGCATATTTAGACTCAGACTTGATGCCCTTGTTATGAAGCATGTTACTAAACTCGATAAATTGAATGACTAACGCAATTGCCTCAGAGGCAAACCCCAGCAAGGTTCCATCGAGCGTATCTATAGGTATTCCCATAGGCTACACACACACACACACCCACCCAAACACACACACACACATGTATAAAGAGATACCTGTATATGTATATGTATATGCATCACCTGAACAGCATCGGAGCCAAATTTGCTGAAGATCCGGCTCAAGCAGAGCGTCATCGAGCGCAAGGCACGGATCGGCGGTCCGGCGGGGGCTCGACGGCACGAACGCCTGCTGCAGGCCGCCCAGCGACGGCATCAGAAGAACTCGGTTCTCACAAGTACGTATATAACAATGGAGCAAATACATGCACACAAACACACACACACAGGCACACACTCACACACACATGCATTATCGAAATTCTGGAGGGGATCGGATTGGGGTCAACCCGCTGGCAGTGGCAACCGCATCGAACCGCTTGGAGCGCGTTTCACGGTTTTGTTGTAATTTTGGAGCGGAGCGCTTAAAACTGGATATGAAAATGAAAATTGAGGCAATTACATAAACGCACACACACACATACACACGCATATAGATATATATATGGACAGATGTGTGGCAAAGCTGAAAGCAATGCGCAAAGGTCGTCGGCTGGGTCAACTACAACAACAACAGCAGCAACAACAACAACAACAACAATAGAGCCAAAAGAGCAACAATATCCATCTTAATTATCGTGATTATACTGGGCGCCATAATTGTGTGTGCACGCTCTCCCTTTCTCTCTCTCTCTCGCTCTCTCTCTCTCTCACTCTCTCTCTCTCTCTCTCTCTCTCTCTCTCTCTCTCTC